TTCTGGATTGCGTACCCTTTGCCTGGCCTATAGAGATTTAGACCCTGAAACCTATAATAGTTGGAATGAAAAATTCATTCAGGCCAAATCTGCATTGCGAGACCGTGAGAAGAAGTTAGATGAGGTATTCCACTATTTCTCACCTAGTATTTTTCAGCATTCTCATGACTCCCGAGAAAACGGCTTTCTAAGAAAATTCTAAAGTTTAACAACCAAGAGCAACAAACTTGTTTGAATGACAGGAATGAAAAATGATTTTATGATTATGTCCTTTAGTAATGAGAGTGATTCTATCCTTACAGTACAGTTTTGAGTCGCCAGGAAATAGTTTAATCATAGCTGATGATTGTGAGGTGTCTTGATCCATGAAGGTAGCAGAACTTATCGAGAAGGATCTTACCCTCATCGGATCAACTGCAATAGAAGACAAACTTCAGGAAGGGGTGCCTAACTGCATAGAGACCTTATCAAGAGCTGGAATTAAGATCTGGGTGTTAACAGGGGACAAAATGGAAACGGCTATTAATATCGCATATGGTAGGGTGTGACACAACTTTTGCTCTTGGATCTTTTTTTTTTCTTCTACCACTTAAATATCTGCTCTTCGATTCTGTTTTGCTACAGCATGCAACTTGATCAACAACGATATGAAACAATTTATCATCAGTTCTGAAACGGATGCAATCAGGGAAGCTGAAGAAAGGGTAATTATTCTACCGTTAATAGCTTGTCTTGCTTGGAACACAATTTAGCTATTTTATGTTCATAAATCTTTTTGATATTAGGGTGATCAAGTTGAGATTGCTCGTGTTATCAAAGAAGAAGTAAAGAAGGAGCTGAGAAAGAGCCTTGAAGAAGCTCAACTCTATATGCATACTGTAGCTGGACCAAAATTGGCGCTCGTTATTGATGGAAAGTGTTTAATGTATGCATTAGATCCGAGCTTACGCGTAACGCTGCTCAGCTTGAGCTTGAACTGTACGTCAGTTGTGTGCTGTCGTGTTTCTCCGTTACAGAAAGCACAGGTAAGGTTTAGATGACTATTTCAAATTAAATTCGTACAGGTTGGCCGTTTAAGAGAGCTTATGTACTATTTTGTCTTGGCACTTTGATTTCGAAATTGGTAATCATTTTTTTTTTGGTTCTGAATTTCTGGCACGTAATTGATGTCCAGTGAGTAATTTGGTCATATGTATTATTTGAGCCGGCATCTAAATCTTAATATATCGATCTAATTTCAGGTGACAAGTTTGGTGAGGAAAGGTGCAAAAAAGATTACTCTTAGTATCGGTGATGGTGCCAACGATGTTAGCATGATTCAAGCAGCTCATGTTGGTATAGGAATAAGTGGGATGGAGGGAATGCAAGCTGTGATGGCTAGTGATTTTGCCATAGCTCAGTTCAGATTTCTTACTGATTTGCTTCTTGTTCATGGACGGTGGTCATATCTTAGAATCTGCAAGGTTGAGTTCATCTTTTGCCGCATAACACTCTTTTAACTTTTTGAAACTTCTAATGGTCTTTACTTGGCAGATTGCTGCATAACATCTTGTTTTTAAAATCAAAGTTATTATGATCTCTTACTTGGCAGGTGGTCATGTATTTCTTCTACAAGAATCTTACCTTCACTTTGACTCAGTTTTGGTTCACATTTCGAACTGGATTTTCTGGTCAAAGGTTCTACGATGATTGGTTCCAATCATTGTATAACGTTTTTTTCACCGCTCTTCCTGTCATTGTCCTTGGGCTGTTTGAGAAGGTACTAGCTTTTATCGATCTCTTAAAACATAGGCATACACCCATCTTATATTAGGACTTTTCATTTTCTGGATTTGATAATCTCATTTGCTAGGATGTGAGTGCGTCCCTTTCGAAGAGATACCCAGAACTGTATAGGGAGGGAATACGTAACTCATTTTTCAAATGGAGAGTCGTAGCAGTATGGGCTACTTCTGCTGTGTATCAGTCACTCGTCTGCTATCTCTTCGTGACCACCTCATCTTTTGGTGCTATAAATTCCTCAGGCAAAATATTTGGGCTCTGGGATGTTAGCACCTTGGTTTTCACATGTCTGGTGATTGCGGTGAACGTGCGCATTCTTTTGATGAGCAATTCCATTACAAGATGGCATTATATCACAGTCGGTGGGAGCATTCTTGCATGGCTCGTTTTTGCTTTCATATACTGTGGCATTACGACACCACGTGATAGGAATGTAAGCTCTTTCAACACATTGCTGTCCTTTCCTTTCGGTTATATGTTTGATTTTATTTCTTTTCTCGTCTCTGCAGGAAAATGTCTATTTTGTAATATATGTCCTGATGAGTACATTCTATTTCTACTTCACGTTGCTGCTTGTTCCCGTTGTCTCTCTTCTAGGTGATTTCATCTTCCAAGGGTAAGTAAAACCATATGATATGATCAATTTCAGCTACTTTTTTTAGTACTGTCTGACATGTGGTTATTTTACACAAGATCACTGAAACAGAGCGTACACAGGAAGTTTTTTAATGATTATGACATGAGAGAATCTATATGCTTTTACTGATGCAGGGTGGAGAGATGGTTCTTCCCATATGATTATCAGATCGTTCAAGAAATACATAGGCACGAGTCAGATGCAAGCAAGGCTGATCACCTGGAGATAGAGAACGAGCTCACACCTCAAGAAGCGAGAAGCTATGCGATATCCCAATTGCCACGGGAGCTCTCAAAACACACTGGGTTTGCATTCGATTCACCAGGTTATGAATCTTTCTTTGCGTCTCAGTTAGGTGTTTACGCACCACAGAAGGCGTGGGATGTGGCTAGGAGAGCCAGTATGAGGTCACGGCCTAAAGTACCAAAGAAGAAGTAGAGCTGATCTATATAGACATTATTGCTTATTGGGGAGGGGGGTTTGTTTTTGTTAGGCCTTTAGCTTAAAATATATGTAGAAATGTACCTCGTAAGGTGTTTTACTTTAAACGCCATTTTTATAGCTCCACTTATGAACTCAATTGTGGAGAGAAGCGTTAGGATTCCCTTGTACATACATTCGATTCACACCTTTTGAGGTCATTTGTCTCCTTTTTTTTTTTATATCTATATATTTATTTATTGTATACATTGTGTTTCAGTTTCATTATTCTGAAGTGCTCCCAAACATGAGGCAACGTTACACAAGCATCAAAGTAGACTATTCTTAGTCAGGTATCTAACATATCGAAAACCTCCAACTGTTCTTGTCAGCCTCTCCGATTGATAGAGTTCACAAGCATCTAAGCAAAGAGATGAGAATCTAACAAGGGACGAATGAGCATCTTTTAGGAAATTTGGAAAAACGTTGAACTTTCTTGCCATTAAAATCAGTCTTTTTCGGCTCCACGTGGCATCTCTCAGATGACAGTCTGTTTTGATATTAGTGCAAACGGCATCCTTAATGTCTCCGCCAAGGACAAGACCACCAGCCAAAAGAACAAGATCACGATCACCATTGACAAGGGTCGTTTGTCTATGATACCCGTTGAAAATGAGATTATAATGCTTTAGCTGATGTAGAATTATGTGGAATCCCTGATAAAGTGTAAACACTCTAGAACCTAGTTCACGCTCCTAAAGAAAGTGTGTAGCAGCAGAATATGATATTCTGGAATATGAGAACGTGACTGAGAGTAAATATACGAGAGAACCAAGTTCATGCTAATGTATTTAACATTGAAAAACATTGATCGATTTTGTATATACGATTCTTTTGCAAAATGTACATCCAGCAACAGAAAAATCGTTTACAAGAAATATTCCTCTGGGCTGGGTGGGCTCAACAAGATATAGGTTATAAAGAAAAACTAGCCCATTAGTAAAAAGTTAATTTACTAAAATTAAAATTTTGGGGCGATATAAGTTAATTGGGGCGTTCCGAGAATTGAACTCGGGACCTCTCGCACCCTAAGCGAGAATCATACCACTAGACCAAACGCCCTTTGATGTACTAGAGAGAGACAAAACAATCATGGTATCGTACTATTTTAAAATGATAAATCATCGATCTCTGCGGATTACAAAAAAAAAACAGAGCCATCAAGTTATTTTCAGTTTAAGATTCAACCTCATGTTTTACTCATCCCTCTTGAGAACGTTTAACAAAATGCTACAGAAATGCAAAAGATATTAACTCGTCTGTAAAAAAAGAAAAGAGGAGAGGGGGAGAGGTTTAGGATTCAGAGACATTGAAAAGTCCAACCTTGCAATATTGAGATGGAGAATACTAGGATCACCACAGTCTGGTCTCAAGGAGTTGTACAACGAAGATATATTGAAAGTTACAATCTACTAGATACATGAATTGGATCAGAAACATCTTTTATATGGATATCTCCAATTTGCTAAGAAGTGGATTAAGAGTCTAATATGCTGCATTATGGACTGATTCGTGGCTTCCTTTTACACCCTCCAAAACCTCCACGTAACATATAGCACTTGATTAAGTCCAAAAGGTATGTATTTTAATGCAAGAGAGAAATCAGATGCCTTGTTGAGAGTAATGAAACAGTGCTAATCCAAAGAGTCGGATTATTGGTTAGCTACTCACTCATTTGAATGCAGAAGGAAATTACAATTCCACCACCACCACGGAATCCAGAGTAAAACTTATAACCACAGCAACAGGACTTTAAAGAGATGATCTTGTAACTGCAGGTTGGATAAGAGCATCTCCAATGTAAAACTATATTTTTTATTTCAAAATAGAGTAAAAGTGATTACGGAGTAAAATATGCTTTAACCATACTTCATATCTTACTCCATAATGGAGTAGTGAACAAAGAAAAAATAATCTCATTATGGAGTAAGATATGGAGTGGAGTTGGAACATATTTTACTCCATAATCACTTTTACTCCATTTTGAAGTAAAAAATGGAGTTGGGTTGGAGATGTCCTTAGAGATTCAGTTTCAGTTTTTTTTTTATATATGTGTTGGACAGAGCAAACAGAGGAATAATGAAGAATTTTTCAAAGCGGAACTACAAATCCTATTAATGAGAGAAGCAACAAAGCAATCTCCCTATAACCCTAATTAACTTCTTTTTTCTTTTTTTTACTAATTAACTTTTACAAGAGTATTTATCGCAGATCATGAGAAGGGTTCGCAAACGCTGCATCGTAGATTCCCTCTCCGCAGCCGTTGATTTGATTTCTCTCTTTCTCGCTGAAAGTCTCCGTTGTTTACTGCACTTACGATCCAACGATGATATTGCAAGAGACATCGAAGTTAGATCAAACGAGTTGTTGTTCTTCTTCTTTGTTGGGACGTTGTCGATAGCCTCTTTGAGCAAAGTTAGATCGAAAGAAGAAGAACCATCGTTGATCTCAATCCCTTCTTTCTCGAAATTTTTCTTTGACTTTGGCATTACCCTTTCGCACGCAAAGAGAATCAAACTGTTAGCATTTAACTACTTTTTAAGAGAAACGCCATCTCTTTGTTCTATTGGGCCACCACCTTCCGTTCAATAACATTGGGCTAACAATATAGTAGTAGAGCATTTGTGTTTTTTTTTTCTGTAAAAAAGGAATATGGTGCAAATTAACTATTCAAATTTCAAACTAACTTTTTTGAACTTTTTTAGTAACTTAATAATTGTTAATAATTGTGAAGAAATAAAAACTAGGAAAATTCTCTCAAACAGATTATTTAAGTTTTGATCGCAAAATTAGATCTCAAAAACTAAAATAACTAAAATAACATTTTTTATTTTGAAAATTTTAATTTTCTTTTTCTAATTTAAAATCCTATTCCCAAAACTTCACTCCTTAACTATAAACAAAGAGTCTAGAATTAGTTAAACCAAATGATATAAAAGTATATTTATTTATTTATTTTTGAGAAAACATTTAAGTTTATTTTTAAAATCTATTTTTGTGACAAAAACTTCTTTATGTCTATCATAACGAATTTCTCTAAATACTAACGAGAGTGAACATTTGTTTTTACTTCTTTTTATAAATTAATATTTATTTGTATAAGTAACAAAAATTGTCTAAATATATCATTTTTAAATATTATTTTTCATCTTTATCTTAACCACATTTGTAATAGGTTGTAAAGAAATAAATAGACACATATAATTCTAGAATTGAAAGGTAAGTTTTTGGACGGTCAAAATTTTAATTTTAAGAAAAATTAAAATAGATACTTAAAACTAAAATAATTTTTTTTAAAATAATTTCAATTTTGAAAAAAATATCTATTTTTTTTTTAAAAAAATGAGAAATTACAAAACTATTAATTTCTTAATATCTTTTTTTTCATCTTTACCTCAATCAATCACATTTATCCTTGGTTTTAAAGAGGTAAGTAGACATTTATAATCTTAAAATTAACCAATATAAACTTAAGGTTTAGATTGAGAGGAGACTTTTGGAGGGTATGTTGAATTATAATAAAAGTATAAATAAATATTAAAAATTAATAGGTGAAAAATCAGCATCAATAGGTGAAAATGTTTAGGTATATAGTTGAAGACCCTTTGAAACGAATTTAATAGAAAACAATACATGAGTTTAATTAGTTTTAAGTAAGATATTTTATGTAAAATAAGTTAGATTTTATTTCAATAAGTTTGTTGAAAGAAAGTTGGTATAGTAAAAATTCTATAAATTAATACTCAATAAAATAGTAAATACTATGAATTAATAAGTTTTGCCTATCCCGCAATGGACCAATGAAAAATACGAGTGAATTCAATAAAATAATAAGTTAATATTTTTAAAAAATATTATATTAATATATAGTCTCATTATAAACATAAATTAATGAACAGTATGTATAGAATTTCAAAAATATAGCCAATATATTATATAGTTTTTTTTTTACTTATAGTGATGTTTATCTTCATTTTTCTTAATACTTTAAATACTTTGATGTTTTTTTCCAAGTTACACTTAAAATGCATTTACATTTATGGTAAACACCAAGTAGTTAAGATAAAAAGAAAATGGCTAAAATATCACTAAACAAGTTTTTGTCACAAATATAGCACTTAAGAATAAAAATGACCAAAATAACACATAATGTTTTATCAAAAGAGATAAAAACTTATATCCCAATGATAAATTAATTTAGACATTAGGGTTTAGGGTTAAGGGGTGGGGTTTCGGGTTTAGGGTTTAGGGTTTAGAATTTAGGTTTTAGGGTTTAGAGTTGCGGAATTGGGTTTTGGAGATAAGATTGTTTGAAAAATAAAAAAATTTTAAAGTTTTTAAAAATAAAATGCTATTTTGTTCATTTTAGTTTTTAAGGACTATTTTTATGACATAAACTTAGAAATGTGTTATTTTGGAGATTTGCCTAAGATAAATTTAATATCAATAAAAGTTAATCAATAGATATATTGTAAGTCAAGTATTTTCATATTTATTCATAAAAACATATTCTGAAGAATATAAATAAAAAACTCTATAAATTAATAACTGTAAATTAACAAAATATTAAAGTCCAACACTATTAATTTATAGAATTTTGTATATGACTTTAAATGCATGAGTACATGCTAGATATTAACCACACTATTATTAACCCTCTGCGCATATACATACACATACATAAACATTCACAGGCTCCCTTCTCTTTCCCTCTCTTGCTTGCTCGAGCTTTTCAGCCTTTGATTTTTATTTAGGGGTAACCTCTCTCTCCCTCTCTGGCTTCCCCTGAAAACTATTTGTATCAGAGAGAAAGAGATACAGAGACTAGAGATAGATATAGAGATCCAAAACCAGAAGCAATCTTTCTCGGCTTGCTTTCGTGTGAAGATTGGTATCCGTTTTCTACGGCAAACTCACGGCGGCGATCCACTCTTCTTTATCTCTTCTATCTTATTCAGAAGGAACCTAGAAGTTTGTCTCTGTCTCTTTGAAGAATGTGATCCTGTCTCTTCAAGGTTTGAAAATAACGACGAATCTCCTTCTCTCATCGTTGATTGTTGGTTCAATAGATCTGGTTTTCTGATTTGAATTTGTTTGATTGGTTTTGGTTTCAGGGTAGTGAAGCGTTTGTTGTTATTGTAAAAGTTGATAGAGAGAAAGAGAGATGAAGAGGGTTAGAGAAGAGGGTTACGTTGATACTCAGACACGAGGACATACTGTTTCCTCTCGTGGAGAAACGTAAAAGCTCTTTGTCTTAATCACAATCTCATGTTTTGTCTTTTTTTTCTTCAAATTATGTTTCTTTTTGTGAAATCGAAATTGCAGGCTGATAAGTTATTAGTTAATCAAATTGCTGTTTGTTTTCTTCTGTTTTTGGATATTAATTTATATTCTATGATTTTGAATTTCTAGGTTGATTTTGCATTTGAAGGAGAAAATTAGCTTAATTTATGGTTGTGTAATGCAGAAATGGTAGTAGGCCTTTAACGATAGGTGGAGGAGGAAACATGGGAGGGCTAACAACAGGTGATGCGTTGAGCTATCTCAAAGCTGTGAAGGATATGTTCCAAGATAAGAAAGACAAGTACGACACTTTCCTTGCACTCATGAAGGACTTTAAAGCTCAGAGGTAATTAATACCCTTCTACTTTACCCTTTTTCTTTTCTGCAAGAGGAAGTGTGTTTAGTTTCTTGTTGGTTCTGTAGAGTTGACACTGATGGCGTCATAGCAAGAGTAAAGGAGTTGTTCAAGGGCTATGACGACTTGCTTTTGGGTTTTAATACCTTCTTGCCTAAGGGGTACAGAATAACCCTTCCTGAGAAGAAGCCAGTGGCTTTTGGAGAAGCTATTGAGTTTGTTAACAAGATCAAGGTATGTGTATCTGATTTTTTTTTAGATTATCTCAATATCCAAACAGTTTAACGTTAGTTGAGATTTTATTTCTGCTGCAGGCACGGTTTGGGGATGATGACCGTGCGTATAAAAGATTTCTGGACATCTTGAATATGTATAGGAAGGAAGGCAAGTCCATCTCCTCTGTCTATCAAGAGGTATGTTTACAGTAAAAGCATTTTGTCTGAAATAAAGCCAGGTTTCTTGTTCTGATAATCATCTGTTGTACAGGTTACTCTGTTGTTCCAGGGCCACGAAGATCTGCTTGCTGAGTTTGTTAATTTCTTACCTAATAAGTCAGGATCAGGTTCTGCTCAATACCCTCTTTCCGGAAGGAATGCAGTCCCCGCCATGCATTTTGACAAGGTTTCCTCTTATTCATCTTTCTAAACGATTCTCAAATCTTTGACAGCTTAGTTAGTTTTGTGGAAGAAAGCATGCATTGTGGCCACGAATGGTTAGTTTGGAAAGCATTAATATCCGTTCCCTGATTTTGCTAACAGTGATAAATAACTGTTAGATAAATATAGATTTAAGACACAGTTTATAGCAAATTGATGAGATCAAATGTGTTATAAGAAACGTGATGCGTCAGAGTTTAGACTTTGACTGAGATGTTGATACGAGCTCTTACCTGCCACAGAGAATAAAAAGTGGGAGCAGGCCTGATGAGTATACTGGTCATCCTGATCAACGAGAAGATGGTGACGAGAATCTTGTGGCTGCTGATAATTCTCGGGGTAGTGAGTATTTGAATCACTTTTACCGTTTGTTATTATGTTTCTTTTCGTTTTTAGTGATTTTGATGTATATGTTATTATATGGTGTTCTGTTAATATTTGCAGAATCCCTTAATCAAGGTCAATGGCCGGGATACCGACAGGCAGAAGACAACGAGGTTGGTCATGAAAATGTAGTCTTTGGCAACGGAAGCCAAAGGAATAATATGGTCAAGGGTATAAATGAACTGGATCTTACTGACTGTGTACAATGCACACCAAGCTATCGTCACCTGCCAGATGATGTGAGTTCCTTTGAAGTCTTAGATAATTTTTACTCAGTTTGATGCAGCATTTTGTGCTCTTTGATCATATGGTTTACTTTCTCCTGTGTAGTATCCCATTCCTATTTCAAGCTACAGAAATTCACTAGGTGAAAAGGTACTTAATGATCACTGGGTATCTGTCACATCGGGGAGCGAAGATTACTCATTCAAACACATGCGTAAAAACCAGTATGAAGAAAGCTTGTTTCGGTGTGAAGATGACAGGTAAGAGTATAGTATATTAGATATTTCTTTCAATATTTCGATTAGGAATCTTCCAATAACATTGGTGATTGTTTTTCTATTTTGGTCTTCCCTCCTAAATTAATTCAACTTCCATCTGATCTGTGAATTTCCCTGATATGGTCTCTCAGGTTTGAGCTGGACATGTTATTAGAGTCTGTGAATTCAGCCATTAAGCGTGTGGAAACTCTTCTGGAGAAGATCAACAACAACACAATCTCTACAGAGACACCAGTTTGCATCAAAGAACACTTATCAGGCAAGTAGTTATTTTGATCTGATCTGGTTGTGTCTATATTCTCTTACTTGGGCTGTTTCCTCTATAATTAAACAATATAATAGAGCTGAACCTACGATGCATTGAGCGGTTGTACGGAGATTATGGGTTTGACGTTATGGATATTCTGAAGAAGAATTCCCATATTGCCTTACCGGTGATACTAACTCGCCTGAAGCAGAAACAAGAAGAATGGGCTAGGTGTCGCTTTGATTTCAGCAAAGTATGGGCTGATGTATATGCTAAGAATCATCACAAATCTCTGGATCACCGTAGCTTTTATTTCAAGCAGCAGGACTCCAAAAATCTGAGCACAAAAGGTGTGTTTTTGCTTTACAGATTTTTCACTCCAAATATAAGTTCATTTTGCTTAGATTTACCTACCTAAATTAGGTTTTTGTTGAAAACGTTGATTTTGTTTGGCCGCACTTGAATACTATATATAAAAGCCTCATTTTAGGTGCAAATTTCAACTGAGTAAACTTGTCTGTTATGTACCAAATTCAGGTTTAGTGGCAGAAATAAAAGATGTCAGTGATAGAAAGCATAAAGAAGACCCTCTTCACGCCATTGCTTTCGGAACTAAGCCCTCTTTCACCCCAGACTTGGAGTTCAGTTATTCTGATACACAAGTTCATTCTGACCTTTATCAACTAATCAAGTATTACTGCGAAGAAATATGTGCTACTGAACAGTCGGATAAAGTAATGAAGCTGTGGGTAACCTTTTTAGAGCCCATGTTTGGAGTTCCCTCTAGGTCTCAAACTGGTCAGGTAATGATAGATGTGGCAAAGTCTAAAGACAACCAAGAGCAGCAAGATGCATGTAAGGCAGTGAAGGATGACGTTTCTCTTGTCTCAAACCTAAAACTTCCAACACCTCCAACAGCACCTAACAAAGAAAACCCAATATTACAAGGAAGATCTGTTGGACAAGAAACCATTCAGCAAGATAAACTCCATGTTAGCGCAGCTATGAATATTGAGGTAACTGGGTTGTCTCTCCTTTCTTTTGTCTTTATTCTTGATTTGGGGCCGTAAACTAAATGTAGTCAAAGGTTCTCATAAATTCGGGTTGCTAGGGGTAGAGAGCGCATTTAAATGTGGAGAATATCAATGGGAGTTGCTTTCCTTAAGCAGCAATTAGATGCCATGCCATGGTCATGGAAATTCCAAAGTTTACTTTATTATGGGTCTTGAAAAAGGTATTCATCTATCTTGTCTGTGATTCTACAGGATAGCCAGCCTCACAAACTGGTGTCACCACCTAGAAAGGATTTGTTAATGGAGGGTATAGAGAATCGTAGTAAGGTTAGTGATGTAATAATGGGAGAGCACAAGGTTGAGCGAGAAGAGGGTGAGTTATCTCCCACTGAAAGTTATGAGCAAGACAATTTTGAGGTTTGTGGAGACAATGGCGCTGAGGCTGTTCAGAAACTGCCAGACAATGTAGGAAGTAATAAAGAGAACAAAGGAGGTGCAGTCTGTGCTGAAGCTGGAGCAATGATCATTACTTCCCTTAAAGATGATGGAAATAAAACTACTCAAAAGTTGTCAGAAGCCAATGAAAATGCCTCTAAAGATATTGCCTCGGGAAGCAAGTTTGGTGGTCAAGTTTCTTCCGATGAAGAGCATAAAGGAGCCTACCCGCTTGATAGTGTGATTGAGAGCGAAAATGAGGCTGTAGGGATGATTAATTCCAATGGGAGTGAAGATGACTCCGTTCTCACATTTTCAGAACGGTATCTGCAACCTGTAAAGCCCCTTGCAAAGCATTTGCCTGTGACACTACAAGTTAGTGGAAATAACTCCCCGAAAGATTCTCAAGTTTTCTATGGAAATGATTCCTTTTATGTGCTTTTTAGGCTTCATCAAGTAAGGACTACAAAACAAACTTCTCAAGTTCCTCAAATGTCAATTGTCTTTTAAGTTCAAACCGCTAATTTTTGTTTTCCAGATGTTGTACGAGAGAATACAATCTGCAAAGATACATTCAGAGAGGAAATGGAAAGCTCCAGATCCAGACAAGACATCTCCTGATTCTTATACGAGGTGGTTTATCTTCTAAGGAGTGTTGGTACTTCTTTTAATTGAAACAATAGGTACCTTCCCTACTGATAATTTGAAGCACAGGTTCATGGATGCTCTCTATAATTTACTTGATGGCTCGAGTGATAATACAAAGTTTGAAGATGAATGCCGAGCTATTATTGGAGCTCAATCATATGTTCTCTTCACATTGGATAAGCTAGTTCAAAAGTTTGTCAAGCATGTAAGCTTCCATTTTCACCTACTTCATTTCCCCCTCTTTTTTTCTTCTGTACTGATCATGGAAGTGGATTTGGGAATGCTTCAGCTTCATGCAGTTGCAGCTGATGAGACAGACACCAAGCTACTGCAACTACACACATATGAGAAGTACAGAAAACCGGGAAGGTTCTTTGATATAGTGTACCATGAGAACGCACGAGCCCTTCTCCATGAGCAAAACATATACCGGTTTAAATATGTATGTTTCTCTTGATATTTGAGGAAACCCTGTGTACATGGTCTCACTTGCTAATGTATCCTTGCAAAAATCTCTATGCAGTCTTCTGCACAAACCCGTCTGACCATTCAACTTATGAACAGCGGGAACGACCAGCCTGAGGTTACAGCTGTGGCAGTGGAACCAGGTTTTGCAAACTATCTACAGAATGAGTTTCTTTCGCTTGTTCCTGATGAAGAAAGGCCCGGTCTATTTCTGAAGAGGTGAATAATAAAAGCATAACTTCTTACGTATTCTGCTGTGCAAGTGCATGAGTAATCATCTTACACATATACTATATCCAGGAACAAGGCGAAAATGAGCGGTCCAGATGAATCTTCAGGAATGCCGCGTGCAATGGAAGGATTGAAGATTATCAACGAGGTCGAATGTAAGATGTCTTGTAGTTCTTCCAAGGTTAGTTTACATAACCCTCTCGTGTATTAAAAATCTATCTGTTTTAGTTTTAAGAGAGTTTCCAAATTGTTATTAGGTTAAGTATGAACCAAACACATCAGATCTTCTGTATAGAAGGAAGCAGAAGAAACCAAAACTGAATCCAAATGGAATTGACAAGGATAAAACTCCTGGTAGCAGTGAAGTCTCGAGAAAGAAAATATTGCGTTTTCACATGTGTCTTAACCGTAGACTCGTTGCCTTGCCTCAATAACGGCTTCGTGCATGTAAGTAACCCTCTTCCTCCCTTAACCTTTCATCAACCTAGTAATCAATGTTGCATCTGAATAATCTCTTATTCGAGATCAAAGTTTATAGATTACGGCTTGTATATTGTGCAGGTGTGAAAGTTCTTGGCTGAGAAATGCAGGCATCAGTTAGTGGTAGATACTAGAGACCAAAACTGGCTTTGAAAGATTCTTGCATCATATTGGCTCAAAGACATTCATATGGCAAACGTAATTTTTCTTATCCTTCTGAAGCTGCCAGTTTTGGTGTATAGTGTTAAGTTATGTACCAGACAAAGGCTAAAATTCGGAGATTTTCAATTCCTTTCATTGAAACAAATGTTGGATATTCCTTATAATATTATGTTTCTGTTTCAGTTCAAGCTTCTCATCTTTTCATTTAAATTCATTTTATCTAGTCATCAGTCATCACTGTTTCAGTGCTAATCTTTTTAGTAAGAGTGTTTGTTCAGTTTGGATCATTTAAACAACAAAATGTTGGAGTAATAACTAAGCAATCTGCAGTGTAAAAAGCACTAGTGACTTGTATCATTTTTTTTTGTTATAAATTATTACTAGGGCGGGCTCCTACGCAAACGCGGAGTCGTGGACGTTTTTTTTTCGTATTCAGTTTTGCTTTATAAACGTGTTGGTACTATTGGAATAAAGAAAACAGTAAGATTGATAAAAGGAATGAAAAAAACGTAGATCATATACAAACACACAATATGGAAAGAACTCAGTCTCTTGCTCATAAAGTCACAGAATATTATTATTTATGTACATGTACCAAAACCTAACTAAAGCCCTTGATTCATAGGCTCCAACCGTAACAAGTGTTGTCTCTTTATTTTCATCTTTTCTATGTACAAATCATGGTTCAGATTCACAGTTTTATCCTAAATAACTCTGAGTTGATCTTTGACTTCATCTAACTCACACCACGCTCTCAAAGGAGACTCTGAGGTGAGAAGGATACCTAGGCTTTGGGCTAGAAGCAGTGTTGGAAAGTCCTTGAAGCAACTTCACCACGTCGCTTACTTCATCCAAAAAGTATTTGGCTTTGCTCGGTTTCCTTCCCACTGTACACGCGAATATCTCAGCAGACACTGACGATGGTTGAGCCGAGATTGTTGTTATGCTCTCAAACATCTCTTCGTCTGATCTGTCGTCCCCAATGCATACCACAAAATCCGGTGCATTCCCTTCTTCATGCATTTTACTCAGAATTTTCCCGGTGACAAGACCTTTGCTTACTCCCTGTTAGTCCAAAGATCCCAGTTTAGTAGCCGGACTATATAAGAATTGCTACCACTCAATGCAGTGAATATAAGAACATAATTAATCAGAGAAGATTTGCAAATGCTTTCTCTATGGCTCATCAACAGAAGATAGGGCGATGAAGGTGTATTACCTGAGGCTTAACTTCAACGATGTGGTGACCTCTATTAACCACAACGGGTTCATTTACAAGAACAGTTTCTAGATGGTCCAGTAGTTCCTTGGCTTGACAAGAACCAAAGTCCGGGTCTGCATCTTGGTGATGCCACACTAGAGCACTTTCTTTCGCCTCTATAGTAGATCCATCCGTTGTTTCTGTATACAGTCTCATGATAGGTTCCACGATTTTCTTCCATTCAAGGTCATCAGAAAAGCCGCTTGTTTCCCAGTCAGAAGACTTATTCCACCTGAATAACGGAGATTCTCTTCTAAGTTTTTACTTTACCAAACAACAAAAGTTTGCACAAGATTAACATAGTAGTTAAGACATACTATTAACGTACCTTGTGAAGTAACCGTGTTCAGCTGCTATTCCAAGATTATCACACGGTGCAAGCCACTCGCTTAAAGAAACTTTCCCCCTCCCGCTAACAATAAATACAGTGTTATCAGGATCACTACACAGTGTCTTCAACGCAGACATAACTTCAGCACTTGGATCCTTTACAATCGAGGACTCTGGAACTAAAGTACCGTCATAATCAAGAAAGATTGCTCTCTTGCTCGATCTTCTGTAAGCACTGACAGTTTGCTCAATGGATAGCCTTCTGAAATTAGGAGAGAGAGCAATGAGCCTAAAACCTAAACCCCAACCCACACCCCAACACCTTTTACTGTAATGATCCCGACATGCCCTTTCCAAATCCAGTGTAAAGCTGCGCGACCAATATGCCACATCGTGTGTACTAATGTAGTTATAGTGTTTCTTATGCCGTAGCTGCTTCTCAAAATCAGACATGGTGATAGCAGAATATATTGAATCGGCTACCGCATCAACGTCCCAAGGGTTAACCCTAATCGCACCACTTAGAGAAGGAGAGCAACCAATGAACTCAGACAGAACAAGCGTGCTTGTGCGAGGAGAATCTTCACTTAGTCCCAGAGATTTGTCCATGTCAGGAGTTCCCTGTCGACAAACGGTGTATTTGTACGGAACTAAGTTCATACCATCTCTCACTGCGTTGACTATGCAGCATTCCGCCAAGGCATAATAGGCAGACTTCTCAAACCGAGGAACAGGACGATCAATCAGAACCACTGGCTCATAACCAGGCGAACCATAACGCTCGTTGATCCTATTAACAGTATAATACGTCTCTTTCTTTGCCTCTTGAACGTCTTTACCTGATCCTCTGGCAGGGTTGACAATCTGAATGAGAACTAGTTTCCCTAGCATGTTAGGATATTGCTGTAGGAGGTGTTCAAAGGCCAAAATCTTCAGACTCAGACCTTTGAATATATCCATGTCATCAACACCGAGTATCACCTTCTTACCACGATACTTTTCTTGAATCTCTTTCAGTTTTTCAGCTGTAGCAGGAAGATTCAGAACTGATTCCAGCCTTCCCATTTGAATACCTATAGGAAGAATCTTCAGGAAAACTGTACGGCCCAAGTAGTCAAGAGCAATATGCCCTCTCTTAGATTCGTACTCCAATCCAAGCATTCTACAGCAGCATGACAAGAAGTGCCTTGCATAATCAAAGGTGTGAAAACCAATTAAATCACAGTTTAGGAGCCCCCTTAGTAGCTCCTCTCGAACAGGCAAGGTTCGATAAATTTCAGAAGAAGGGAATGGGCTGTGGAGGAAGAAACCAAGCTTGATCCTGTGGAAACGCCTCCTCAGAAACGTTGGGAGAAGCATTAAATGATAGTCATGAATCCAGATATAATCTTCCTCGAGATTAATCACACCCATCACCTTATCCGCAAATATTTTGTTTGCGGAAACATATGCCTGCCAAAGACTACGATCAAAGCGTTCACCATGATCAAGGCACATGGGTAACATGTAGTGGAACAGTGGCCAAAGCTGCTGTTTACAAAAGCCGAGGTAGAATTTTTTATGCACATCTTGTGGGAGGAAAGTGGGTACGCAACTGAACTCCTCAAAAAGTCTCTGAGAAACCTCGTCTTGCTCACTAACATCAACATCCGTCTTGAGTGATCCAACATAAATGACTTCAGTCTCTGGAGAAAACCCATCTTTGAGATGTAACAGAGGAGAATCATTGTCCAGGCAGAATTTCCACTGCCCAGTTTCTGAATCCTTTTTACCATTCAAAGGAAGAAAATTGGCCACAAGGATTTTGCGCTCGCGGAGAGGTAATGAGATGGCATCTGAATCATCTACACTAACTCCATATCCATCGATGATGCCGGGAACTGTCATCACTCTTGGAAGAGTTCTGGGAGTGTGAGGAATGTCCAAAAGATCCCCAGAGGCTAAGTCCAAGAGGTTTCCAAATGATTTTGACCCCATTATTCGAGCAAAAGATCAAAAAAAGGTAGAGACTCCAAATCTGAAAAGAGAAACTAAATCAGCATCTTTAACAAATGAAGCATAAATCAAACTAAATAAGAGAAATAACAGTGGAGACAAGACAAGTGTTATGTAAAGAGATAAACAAACAGGTGGAAGGTGTGATCCTTTCACGGGAACAAGGTCAGTAGAGGGTATAAATATGCACACGTGAAGAAACTGGTTCAGGGAACAAAGAAGTGTCAGAAAAAGTCTCACAGGTCACAAGAAAACTTCACACCTTTACTCAAAACCAAACATAAAAAGAAAGAAAGTCAAAGTCTTTAGAAAGTAGGGTTTCAAAATCAGCTATGGATGCTAACTGTTAAAAAATTGCAAAAACAATTATAGGTGATGGAAATTAAAAAAAAAAAAAAAGAAGAAGAAGCAAAACACGATCGGAAATACCAAATCCCTAGAGAACGCTTACCCAGAAACAAAAGGAACAGAACAAACCAATCAGACAGAGAAGCGATTCAACAGCTAAAAAAGAAAAGAAGAGTGAACGCTTAGGAAAGTCAGACATACCAAAATAAATAAGTCCGTGCGAGAGAGTTAGCTGCGTTGTAGTTTTCCGTCACCGGTGGGTGTTCGATCTGAACGAAGAGAGAGGAAATGGAATCGGAGGGAGGGATGGGATATTCTGTGCACAAAGAGACTACGCATTAGTCTTTCTTTCTTTTCTATGCCATTTCATCTTTTAAAGTTGGATAAGTTGGACTGACTCTTTATTTTTTTTTTTTATTATTTAATCTGTTTTCGTTTTGGTTTTCTTAAAATCATTTTCCGGAATAAATGGTCATTTTAGACTTACAGTATAACTTTTTAAAATTAAAAGTATACACTAAAAATCTCTAAAAATAATATAATTTTATAGTCCTAAATTGATTTTTTTATTTAATTTGTATTAGGTGTTTTGTCCGCACTTACGAATAATATAATGGGCATATATAATCAATTTAAGTAAATTATAATAAATTATTGTTCATGCACTCAAAATATTTAATAATAATCTAAAAAAATTCTTTCTATATATAAAATTTTTCATCATCATGTAAATCATTGTCATACACAAATTAAATGTGAAAATACTCATAAATTTAAAATATTTAGTAATAAATTAATATCATTTTTAGACATAACAAAAAAAGTATAATAAAATTATCTTTAATAATGTAAACTATCTATACATAAATTCTATGCAAATTATTTTTTTCATAATTAAATATATATTAACAAATATAATTATTTTTTAAGGTTAATAAAGACTTATAACACAATTATAAAAAATTAGATAATGATAATTATCAAATTCATGATTTTTTTTTAATTTAGAATTAATTATAGAATTAACAAATGTAATTATTTTAAATATAATTATTTTCAATGTCGATAAAGAAATAATATAAAAAATGAAAAAGGATGATTATCAAATAAATGAAATTCGTTTTTAATTCAAGGTTAATACATATTTTATAACCCAATATAAATAGTTTTTGATAAAGATAAATCTAAAATCATTGTAATTCGTTTTTTACTTATGTTTAATTATATATTGAATTTTAATTATTATATAGTAATAAACCTAGTAAGTCATTAAGTTTATGTTTGCTTTATCATTAAGGGTAGTAAAAATCATAAGAACATGACAATTAGATTTACTATCCTTAGTGGCGAAACAAACATAAACTTAATGACTAATTAGATTTATTACTATATAATAAATAATTAGATTTATTATAATCACTAGTCTAGATAATGATAATCATCAAATCATAAGAAACATGACAAATAAGATTTTTTTCTAATTATTATATAGTAATAGATCTAATTAGTCATTATATAGTAATAAATCCAATTAGTCATTAAGTTTATGTTTGTTTTGTCATTAAGAGTAGTATATTTAATTAATATACGGTTCATAATTATATAATAATAATTTGAATTAGTCATTAATTAAGGGTAATAATTAATTATTAGTAAAAATCATAAAACATGATAAATAAGTATAATTACATAAAATTATAGAGAATGTGATAAATCAGCAAATTCACTTTTTTAAATATAATTAATTTATTTTTACTTATATATTAATTCAATTTTATTTTATGATTTATTAATATCAACTATTTTTAGATAATAATAGTCATCAAATCAGTGAAATTTGTTTCTAATTTATGGTTGATTATATATTAATTAAATATATTTTTCTGATAACAACACAATATATATAGGAATTATTTTTATTATCATTATTATTAATTTAAATCATTTATCTAATCAAATAAATATAAATTCGTTTTCAGTTTTGGCTGATTTATATATTGTATCCATTAAGGGTATAAACGATATTAATCACTCCAACTTTTAACGTGGGAACTCCGTTGTGAAAAATTACTTCGCAAATAATAGTATAGATATCGATAAATTAATAATCTCTATAATTTAATAAAAATTATAATTTTGGTATAGTCCCAACATTATTAATTTATAGAAGTTTCATTGTATATAACGATATATTCAATTCATACTTGATTTATATACTCGTGCAAAAAAGATATATATATAGATATATATATAAAAAAAAAACAAATAACATATAATTAATTCAAATAACACTATTCGCCACATCATCAGCTGCTAAATCATTTAATTCTATTTACATCAATAAAATTAACAAAACTTAATCAAATAATAAAATTTTAATCTTATAGAAGAGATATCATTTATAATGTTTTGATCCTATCAATTTTTTATTTTACTAAATAATAGAAATTTATAAACATTTACATTGTCTAAAAAATATATTATTATAAAATGGATTTTTTATTTTATTATATTTAAAAAATAATTATTCTACACGTGGTATTCTTGTCAACAAAATTATTGACGTAGCATCTATGTCATCAAATTTAGATGATGTGGTGGTTGAAGTGGCGATTGGTGTGTGATTTGGCAAAACAAAAGTATGCTATTTGAATTTTTCAAAACTACATATATGTTTTTGAACAATCATATAAATCATGTATGAATTGAAAATATCGGATATGTTTGGTATGAAATGGTTGTTTTCTCTCACATTTTCTAATCTTGGATTAGATAAGATATCGATAGCAAATTTGCTATCTCATCGTCGCTGATGCAGGTTACCTGTATTTTCCTTCTAATTAATCCACACTTTGTAACTTTGACCTGACGATTGAGTTTTTTTTGTTTCTTCAAGTCTATGTCTACTCCTACAGTTAAAATAGCTCAACGTGACTCAAGAACGATGGCTCAGCTCGATTATATTGAGCAGTTGTCAGAAAATTTTCTTTTTTAGTTTTCCAAAAAATTTCAAATATTCACCAGTCGGCTTAACCACCTTTTATATTTATAAAATTACAAAATTCCAGAATTTATAAAGCACAAATGTGAATTTCTTGACAGAAATCTGGACCAGTATTAAGACTAAACATGTACAAGGTCATGGAGTGGTGGCTTTGGACTATCCAAACACCAGCTCCAAATCGACGAAGCCACTCTTTTATGTTTTCTTCTTCTCTGCCTATGCTTTCCTCTTCTTTTCGGTTTTGAAAAATGAGCCTCCTCATCTTATTTTGGTGGTGGTGTTTGACACGCTTCAGCTAGCTCAGTTTCAGCTCTCTGGTGGAAGAAGTGCTCTCATTTTCTCAATTTGTGGTATTCGGTTACTAAAGGGTGAGGATTTTAGCTGACATGACTAGCCATCTTGGTGGTTCGGTTCTGGCGGAGTGTCGGATTTGTTTCAGTCGCGGTGGCCTCTTTAGTATCCAAATATGTTGGTTTTTAGATATATATTGTTCCATTTTTTTTTTAGATTTTGGTTTTCTGTTTTCCTTTCTTTTTTACTTTTCTTTTCTGTTTTAACTTTTTAGCTGTTTGTACTCTCGAAAAAATATCTAATATGTATTCCTTTTATAAGAAAGTGTATATGCGCGGAAGTCATGATGGAGCCTAAATGGACAAGACAAAGGTGGAAAGCATGTAAGCTGTTTTAAGACCTAAGATATAAATAAGGTACTTCTCTAGGGTTTATAGGTTCTGAATATGAGTTATTTCTTAATTACTTGCGGAAGAGTTTTGTGTTTTCTTTCTGGCATAAAACTTCTATGAAGTAGAAATTAAATTGGGTTTGAGACGTGTAAATTGTAAACCTTTTTTAGTCTAATGAAACTTGACGGATAAGAATCTCCCTCTTCACACATAGCAGTTGGAAACCGTGAACTGGGTTATCAATTTCGTTGTGCATTATTTACTTTCATATTGCCCTTATTGCAAAGAGTATCAGAGTTATCCAAGTTAATTGGATCGCAAGTCAAGGTTGCTACGAAAGGGTACAAATAAACCAGCAGGGTTATTGATTGATTAAGGATGGAGCCAGAAAATGTAAAGTTTTCAGTGGATAAATTTGATGGAAGAATTGATTTTCTCTTGTTTGGCTTGTGAAACACAAAATGTTGTGTTAACTAGAAATTATAGGGTTGAGTTTGGTGCTAAGTGATGACATGACACCCTCTTTAGAGGCTGAGAAATAAAGGTGAATCTAAAGGCTGAAAAAAAGAAAAATAGGGTGATTTTCGGTTTTTCTGAGAAAACTTGATTTTAAGATTTTCTCAAGAAAACTTGATTTTGCAGTTTTGACGGAAAAACTCGATTCCAGTGGGAAAACTCGATTTTTCAGTTTTGGTGGAAATTTTTGATTTTAGGATTTTGACTGGAAATCTCAGTTTTGCAGTTTTGACGAGAAAAGTCGATTTTATGGTGTGTCAGGAAAACTTGATTTTGCGGCTTTGGCCGGAAAACTCGATTTTAAGGTTACAAAGGAAAAACTGATCTTGTGGTTTTGAAGGGAAAATTCGATTTTACGGTTTTTGATGGAAACCTCAGTTCTGCGGTTTTGACGGGAAAACTTGAGTTTACAGTGTGGCGAGAAAACTTGACTTTACGATTTTTGTGGAAAACTCGATTTTAAGGTTACAGCGGGGAAAACTTGATTTCTGGTTTTGGGGGAAAAAAATCAATTTTACTGTTTTGACGGGAAACTCAATTTTACGGTGTGGCGGGAAATTTTGATTTTGTGGTATTGACGGAAAACTTGATTTTAAGGTTACAGCGAAAAAAAACTCAATTTTGTGGTTGGTGGGAAAATTTGATTTTACAATTTTGACGGGAAATCTCAATCTTGCTGTTTTGACGAGAAAAATCGATTTTATGGTGAGGCGGAAAAATTCAATATTAAGGTTTTGACGAGAAAACTCGATTTTATGGTTTTGGCAGAAAAACTCGATTTTAAGGTTACAGTGGGAAAACTCGATATGTTAAACTCAATCCCTATAGTATGGTATCAGTAATAATATGATATGTCAAACTCATGCCCTATAGTATAGTATTTACTACATATTGTTTGAATTGTTTCTCTGATTAATGATCTCTCCCCAAACTTACTTTGTTTTTTTGTAGTCCACTTTCACAAACTAAAGAGGAATACCCTATGGACTTAGAAGCCTAGAAATTTTTGTTTTCAACGGAAAGAGGAAGTCCAATGAATCATCTTCTTCTTCGGCGTACATGGACATCTAGGAACGGCTCGATGAGGCGCTCCGGAAGATTGAGGGGCAGGTGGCTCACAATGCCAAGCAAAAAAA